GTGGGTGGCCCCGATTCACTGAAACTCCACTCGACCCCAGCATGGTTTATCCGTTTTCCCCACAAAGCTCGTGGAGTATGGTGTAGACAGTGGTGTTTAAACATCGGCAATCTATCTTTTTTCGCAATGATCAAGTTTCTGCACCATATAGCAAAACTAACCGAACTGCTGCAACACACACTCACTCCTTAACAAACAATCGGATGTCGCCAAGGCGCAACAGATATTTCAAGTTAAAGAGTGCCAATTTAGCCTTCTGTATGCTTGTCAACACTTTATCCGTGATTCGTCCACTTGGTGGGGCTAAGCTACTGAAATAAAAATTTTACACCCTCTATTGCTTTTGCAGTCAGAATAAGTTTGGGAACTGAATCAACCCAATCCTTAAGTAACCTTTTACACTTTGAAGGTGTGATTCGCATACCGAACAAAACTACTCTAGCATCCAAACCATCCATAAAAGCTTGTAACTTATCTGAATCCTCACACGGTGACAACCGTTTCTAGAGTCAAATCCATTGCATAGTTGAACAGAAAAACCATAAGTAGCACCGCCCCCTTAATGAACTCAGGAGAATGAGAGCTTTGGACTCGTACTCGGCCTCGCCATCATAATACTGAAATAAAATTATTCGACGCACCCTTTAAGAAGAGGCCGTGCCAGAGTGTAGAGCGGTTGACTGAGTTTTAGATCAAGAAAAGTAGAATAGGTGGATCTAAAAATGGAATGTCTGTGCCATGATTTGGTGACAATTAAACATGCGGTCGGTGCAACCTCGACTAGGTCTAAAACCAGACAAATCCTCGCGTGTTCATCGTTCACATGCGCCAGACAGTCGACGGATTATAGCGTCTGCGAAATCTTTACACAGTTTAGCGCAAGTTGAATGGAGCTGGCATGTTGGCATCGTTGACGTATACCAACGAGTATTTGGAAATGATTCGATGGAAAATTAGTTATTAAATCAAATTCAGATTGGTGTTCTTCGCGAGTTAGAACGCTCAGTTCGCATTCTGAGCTGTAGTCTTCTGCACTAGATCTTATTCAATGTTACTGCTTCAGTTTGAAGGAAATCATGTGAGGGTCAACGGATTTCGTGGAGATGAGAAATTAAGGTATACACAGAGAGATTGGGTTGGACAAGTTTCTCGTCTTCCAGGTTGGAATCCAGATGACTATAGCTAGTTTTCTGGAAACACCGTAGGATATGGCAACGAACCGACGACAGTGGTGGTCTTGTCATGTATCAGAATGCTTGAAAGGATGCGTATGTGCAGTATTCTCAGCGTTGCCCATTGAGGTTCACTTTCTTTTTTCCTCCTCAAAATGCCCATCCCGTGCTCACCTTAAAACTTTTTTACTTTGCATGCATGAACTTTGTTGCGGTCGATGATGTTCGCTGCACTGTTTCACTGTACGATGATGATATCTGTCAAACGCTTCTGTATTCCAACATATCCCTTGTGCGATTATCATTATCAATTTATTTCACACTAGACTGAATTTTTTTAATTACACAATGTGGATTACAGTAAAAGGGGAAATCCCCATGAACAAACCGTATACTGTGAAAGGGAGAGTAGGGGAACATACATGTAAGAGCCAGCTTATCGATTCCGCGTTTAAAAAGTGTAAGATTGTAAGTTGGGAAAAACAGCAAGTGGGGGAGTGTTCCTCCAAAAGCCTCAGTATGGTCGGGAGTGAGTGTCTAAAGTTGCGAATGGTCACCCTGCCATTGCACCTCTCGAAATGCTCCCATATGACCAAGCGTCTCGAATGGCCTCTGATAAGGAAGTCCTACTCGCTACCTTCTCGCGGCCATCACGACGAGTCTACACCTTGACGTGGTGTGATGGCTTGTGCACCTCTATGACCCAACGAGCTACACAGGATGGCTTTATAAAGCCAGGAGATCTTATCATGCTTGGAAGGTCAATGGGTAGAGGTCAGACGAAGTTCAGTCTCCTGGTCCTCCAGGTTGGGGGTTCGCCTGGAATTTGGCGTTTCAGTCGATAAAA